ATTGCTATTTTTAAAACTACTATCTGGGGCATGTATAAAGGTGTTCTATCTTTTTATTTTACAGAATGGGTGAATGTGAGGGATATCAATTCATATGGTATTGTTTTTCATTGTTACTCTCTCTTCCTTTCAAGATTTTTTTGAAAGGGTCACCTGGGTGGATTTTTACATATCATATCATAGATGTAATTTTTCAATTCTGAGGTCCCATACATGCCTTTATAAAGATCTGACAGGTGGAAAAATACATTCTTTTCTTTGGAAAACTCTGTCTTAACCTCTAATCATTTCCTACTTCTCCATTCCCCTTTCTTCTCTTCCCTTCTTACTAAAAATATAATTTAAATAAAAGTAGAAATTTATGTTAAGGTTACTTATAGCCTATGGACAGTTAAAGCAACAACAGTATCCTGACTAGGGTGCAAGGGAAATACCTTAATGCTAAATACTTCCAAGAGAAATAGTGTTTTATTTTATTAAAGGCAAACACAGTTCATGTACTAATTTAGGCAGTGGTTTCCCCTAAACTTTTCTTTTTAAAGATAAGAAACCAACTTCCAGGCATAACATTTCTTGTTAGAAGGATACATGCTAGAATTTAATGATTCATTTCTCTTTTGTTATGCATATAGAATGTCACAGCCATATAGATAATCAATTTATGTCTGTTTACATAAAAATATATACTTGATTTGCATATGTGACTTTGTTTACATATCTGTAGCACCTTAATGTTACTCTTTTCACATCTCACCCCACCCGTCAATATATTCATTTTGTGTTGCTCTGTTAGGTAATAAAAGTGAAGCTGTTTTACTTTTACTCCATTAAATAAGGTAAATAATTACTGTTCTTTTGAACCCACACATTCTTGTTATGGGAGAGAGAGCCACTGTTACCTGGACCTGAGAGAAACTGAGGTTAAAGCTGCTTCTCCTACAAAGGCCTTGGTTGTGACTGGGGTGGTGGCAATCTCAATACAAAGAAAGTGCAAGGCAGAGGCACCAACATATCCTAAATTTTAATGGAAATGTAATACTAATGATATAATGAGGTTGGTAAGGCAGTCACCATAAAAGCCAACTAGACTTTGTTTATATTTTAAGAAAAAGAAATGAGGCAGTAAAGGAAACAAGCCTCATAAATATGTATAAAATATATGTTTCAGTAATAACTAGTAAAAATACTGATAGTGATAAATGCCTATTTATAGTTATACAAGTATCTCCTAAAATATCTGTTTGTGGTTCCATTAAGGAGTTCAGAATACACTGCTAGTTGGTTTCTGTATACTTTTGTAAGATCAGCTATAACTTTATAATCAATTCAAGACAAACATAGATACAGACAACAAACTCATAGTTGTCAGAGAGGAGGAAATTGGGGAACTGGGTGAAAAAGGTGAAGTGATTGAGGAGTACTTATTATTAGTTACAAAATAGTCTTGGGGATGTAAAGTACAGCAAAGAAAATATAGTCAATATTATTGTAATAGTTATAAATGAAGTTAGTTGGGTACTGGAAATATCAGGGGGAATACTTTACAAAGCATATGATTGTCTAACCACTATTCTATACACTTGAAACGAATACAAAATAATATTGAATGTAAACTGTAATTGAAAAAAAATTTAAAAAGAGCTATATGATATTGAAAGAGAAAGAGGTTAGTTGGTATAAACCAAAAGAGAACCAACACATTTAGGACTATGGATTTTGTGCTTGTTTATACATCTCTATAAAATCAGTATTATTTATAAAGAGAAATATGCCCATGAGTATACATACAACATGTAGTATATTTTATATATAATGCTCACATCTGTATAGTGAACTGTGCAACTATAAATGATGGCATTCTAAAAAATGCAAGACATTACATGTGATAAGCATTACCTATTAAAATGAGTAAATAATTTTTCTCCATCTAACAAAAAACACTTCAGAATATGAATTGAGGAGAATTTTACTGTTGGAAAATTATAGGCTTGTGATAAAATAACAGAAGTGAAATGGTATGTAGAAGTAAGATGAAGAGTGATGAATCAAGCTTTTCTTCCTAATGTCTCTTTGTAATATTTTTCCTTTTCCCCAAACTCAGATAGGAATGAATAGGAATGAATTTAGCCTTATTGGGCAACACAAAGTGGACAATTTATCAGAGTTTCTGGGTCCAAGGAAAAGAAGAGCACTTCTTACATATAATCACCTTCCTAACCCTTCTCAGGAGAATTGGGGCTCACCTACCAGAAGGACACTGAGCAGGAATGGGAAAGAAAAAGAAGAAAGGTGGTTGCAACTAGATGAGATGAATGCCACAGTGAAAATCTGGGTCTAATTTCAGGAGGCACAATTTCAGAGGAGTGTCTATCTTTTGGACTAGAGAAGTAGACACTCTTTTAGGAGAACATTAAAAAGATAGAACCTCTTGAAATAAATGTCCTGCTCTGTTAGCCTTCCTTAAGCCACCGTGTTTCCCAACATTTGGAATGTGTTTTGCCTGAGTATGGGTGTGGGTACGGGCACGATAATGGGGCCCTGCTGTGTGTGCAACTATATGAAAGGCAAAAAGTTAGGAGAGAATCAAGAATCAAAACATTGACTAATGATTTCTAACCTGAAGCAAAGCCGATGCACTATTCACCAGGAACGTGCCTCTGTTTAAATGCTTCAGTTCACACACTACCACACAATACAAGCAGGAAAAAAAAAAAAAAAAAAAAAACAACAGATTTTTTTGAAAAAAAAAAGTTTTATTTAAATGTTTTTAATATTTTACAACAATAAAATATTGTGTCAATATAAACCCCTTGACTAAAACTGTTCACATCAAACATTACAGTGAATTGTTTTCTTTTTGACACCCAACTCATCTTTGAAAGAGTCTCATTTTTAACACAATGCAGAATTTATTGAAAATAAATAATTGCTGGCAACTGCAATAGGCAATTTGAATAAAATAGTTGAAAAAGCAACTCTTAATGAAAATAGCATTTATTATACATCAGTTACTAAATGAATAAACTAAATGATCTTTTTTAAATTAATAACTTCAAAAACGTTTAATATACAAAACTGTACAATTATAAAGTCAGCAGAAATATTTGGGTTAACTCAGGTTTGAACCATAGTGCTTAACTGCAAAGAAAAAATCAAAGCAAACAAATAAACAAATAACCCTAACAGTTGTAAAACATGATCTCAATGTCTGAAAAAGTCCCAGAACTAAAACCCAATTACCAACAGAATGCAGAGGCTTCACAAAAAATAAAAAGGGTCTGGGATTTGAATTAACTCATGCTCTTGGACCTGCAGCTGGGGGACACACAGTGCAGTGGACCAGAGCCCTGGCAGCCCATACTAGGGCATCTTCCACAAGGGGCACTAGGGTATCTGGTCCTTAGGTAGTTTGAAGCTTTGTCTACTGCAGCTGCCCCTGGAGGCCCAGCTAGGCGGCCAGCCAGGTCATACAAGCTCCCAGGTAATTCAGGAGGGCAGTGGCTGTGGATTGCGTGCTTGGCGAGCCAGCACATGTATGCTCCTTGGTTATGAGGTCTGTCTGTGGACCTGGCATGTGGACTTGAGAGCTAGCAGTAAAGCCACAGCAAATGCATACTTTTTGGATCTCTACATAGTCTAGCGAGATTTTTTTGTGGTTTTTGTTTCTTGTAAATAGTAATAATATACACACAACTATCTACACACATACGTTTGCACGCTCACACACGCGCGCGCGCACACACACACACACACAGACACATACACACAGAGAGATAAAAACAACAACAACAAAAAAAACACAGAAACCCAGCAGCCCAGGCCCTCACTAGCTAGTTCAATCCTCGCAGTGGACATTCCACCAGCTGTGCTTGTCCGAGGCATGAGATGGCTCCCGGTGTGAGCTCGCTCAGCAACAGCGGTATATACACATCTGAAGGATGTGGTATGAGGCTAGACCAAAATCCCTGTGACCTTTGCCAATCATTTCATTGTCGTTCTGCACAAAGCAGAGAGCGCCCTCACCATCCCTTCCCAAGGATTTTTTATTCAAGGAGCAGACATTGGACTGGAGTTGAACCGAACTGGGAGGCACTGACTGTCGCCAGAGTCTCCGGGTCGTCTTCTCCAGCGAAATTAATAGCCTGTGAAGGCAGAGTCCTTCGCCCAGGAGAGCCAAGGTGGGGTAGCTCTGGCGGTCAGTCGGCCTGGATAGGCTCTGGGCCCTTGGGGAGCTCCGAGTGCAGACATTCCAGACCTCAGTAGGTTCATAGTCCTCTCAGCTCCCCATGACTACCCCTATCGCCCCAGCGCTGCCACTGAATTCTTCTCTGGCACCCAGATCTGCACTGTAAAAGACCAGCAAGGGCTCAACAGTTCTGGCAGGGAGGGCAGAATCTTTCAAAACAGCCTCTCCTACTTCGCACTAGTTTGCAAACCCAATCAGCTTGCCTATTCTGCCCATTCTAGGCACTCCGCCCACGGGGGAAAACAAAACAAAACAAAACAAAACAAAACAAAACAAAACAAAACAAACATATATGTATATATCACCACCAAGAACTCTTTTTCCATTGTATCCTTTCCTCTCTTTACAGATTTGGGATAGGGGGCATGAGTGAAATGTAGGCACATCTCTCCCCCTCCTCCTTCCAGCCTCCTCTCGCTTTTATAAGCAATTAAAAAACCATCAGCTCAATGTAGGAATAATAATAATAGCAATAATAATGTGGAGTGGTCGATTAGATACAAATTATCTCACAAATATTGTGTACAGCTTGTAGTAAAACACCGCAGACATTTAGAAACGCTATAGAAGTTTTTTTTTTTAAAATGCAAAACTAGTCTATTGTAAAACAGATTTCACCTGAAATACAGCTGCTATAACCAAGGCGCTGAAAGGTTATTTAGAGGCACACATCTTCCATCTTCCCACCTCCCTCCCCCAATCCCTAACCCGCCCCCAAGTTTCCCCACTCCTTGTTCTTCCTAGAGAGGAGCAACCAAACAAACCTTACTCAAAGTAAATAATATATATTGATCTGCAGAAAAGGTTGTAGAGAAAGCTGTTGCCGGACCGCAGGGGATATGAGGACCCCGCCTGGAGTGCTTAATGAAACTGTGTACCAGCGTTAAGAAGCCTGAAATGCGTGAGTGTGTTTCCTTCCTTAATATAAGTTAGAATCCCCGGTTGAAAGGGTGAGGGGTAAAGAAATAAAATATAAAAATGAGAGAGAGAGAGAGAGAGAGAGAGAGAGAGAGAGAGAGAGAGAGAGAGCTACAAAGATAGCAATTATGAAGCTGGAGTGAAAGGAGGGAGTGGGAGAAAAAGAGAAATCCGCGCTGCCCCAGTTCTTGCGGCTGATCGGTTGCCGGCTTCCTGCAGTCAGAGATCATGGCAGGACGTGTCTGTTTTCACCGTATGCGAATAAACCTCATGTGGCTGCTGATCCCCTGGTGGAGTCATTCTTTTCTCTTTCTGTCTTCTGTTACAGAACCAGACACGCACCACTTCTTTCTCCAACTGAAGGCTGTCTGCCAGCGAGGAAATCTCCTGTGCGGCAGGCTTGGGACACTTGAGGAAATGCGTCTCCAGTACACCTTTGACACTCACCTCAATGGAGGTTCGCTTCTTGCGCTTGCGGCCCTGCGCTGCGATCTTGTCAATGCTGGTCGGGCTCCCAGTGGACGAATCAGCCTCCTCCAGCCACTTGTTCAGCAGTGGCTTCAGCTTGCACATGTTCTTGAAGCTCAGTTGCAAGGCCTCAAACCTGCAGATGGTGGTTTGTGAGAACACGTTGCCATACAGTGTGCCCAGTGCCAGCCCCACGTCGGCCTGCGTGAAACCCAACTTGATTCTTCTTTGTTTGAACTGTTTGGCGAACTGTTCCAACTCATCCGAGGTTGGTGTCTCCTCATCCGAGTGGTCCTGGCAGTGGTGAGAGCCTAGATCGCTATGGTCTGGGGGCTCCCGGAGCACTGGGTGTAGGCTCTGTGCGGTGGCAGAAGCCGGCGGTGGGGTGAGCCCCCCGTGCTCCAGCATGCCGCTCACGGTGAAGCCCGGCTGCGAGTACACGTTAAGGGGTTGGCTGCTGGACGTGATGGACGGGTTTGAAGCCGGGGTCGACCCCCAGGCATTGGGGTGGTTAGTGTGCGGAGAGTGGTGGGCGACGTGAGGCGAGCGGTGATGGATGATCGCTCCCAGCTGTAGGTCTTCACGCCCGGGCTTCACGTCCTGCTGGTCCAGAGTGCTGGTGGCCAGTGTGGAGGACCACGGGCCTCCATCGCTCAGACTGGTCACCCAATGGTGCCCGAGGGGATGCCCATTGCTAGGAACTCCCTGCAAGTAATCACTTTGGAGAAGTTTCTGAGGATTTCGGAAAGGACTCCCCTGCTGCATGCCCGCAGAGTCTGCATGGACCAGAGAGCTGGAACTGAGAATGCTGTAGGGATTCGAGGCAGCTGTGGCCATGGTCGGTGAGGATCCCCTACTAGTTATAATGTGGCAAAGGGAGCAGCTTCAGCCTTTGACATCTATCCTGCGGGGGAGCCAAAGCAGCCAGAGAGTTACCGACACCTACCGCGGCCAATCGCAGCGCGTCTCGGTCTGGCCAGCCGTGCGTTCGGCCAATGGCGGTGCGGGAGGCTGGGCTAGCTTTCCAAATTAGGCTGGCGAAGCTCTGTGAGTTGCAGTGAGACCCAAGCAGGAAGTGAATAAAATCTTTCTGATCGGCCGGCTGCATCGCGCTGAGTGGCGGCAACAGATTAGTTGCTTAACCCACCACCACCACCACCTCCAGCATCTACTTCGCCCGTATTTGTAGTGGAGCGGGAAAAATGAGACGGACGTGTGTGTTTGTGTGTAGTGCTTTTAGACTGATAGGTGCTGAGGCTGCAAACTAGCTTTTACATTATTTAGGTGAACCCAAAGAGAGAACGAAAAAAATATTAAGAAACCAACATCACTAGCTTGAATGTCATCTATATCTTAGTGGATATGGATTTTTCTCAGATTCATTTCACTTTCTGGGTTAGTTGTGTGTAGAGGACTGAAAAACAGAATCTGGCTACAAACTTTGAGCAAGGGGACGTCTTTGATAGGAACTGGAATCTAGACTAAAGTCATTGGTTCCAATAAGACTTATTTTGACTAATTTATTTAATTTTATATTAATAAGAAACTCAATACTAAGGTCAGAAAACATCTAAGAAAGAGATGGTTAGTTTCTTCTGGAAAAAAAATGATTTAAGGTATGAAGAATTGGGATATTCTGGAAATTAAAATCCATTGTGATACTGGCAAAATTCAGTTATTTTGAGTTTGCCTTCCAATCCAGTTGGTCAATTGGAAGACTTGGTTTTTATTATGGCTCTATGTCAGCTCCCATCAGCAGTCCCCAATTTCTGTCAGAGGCAATGCTTGTAGAAGCTAGCAGCCCTTCCTCATACTCACCCCAGACTCTCAGCAGACCAACTCCCAATAGGTACACAGGAGAACTTTCCGCTGCTCCGCCCAATGCTGTCCTTTAGGGAAAAACATTTTTTAATGTATTTATTCTCCCCCACTACTATTGCAGATCTGTTGAAGTAAATAGGAGTAGTTTAGTGAACACTGGAAATGAAGAGGGAGAGGGAGAGGAAGAGGGAGAGGGAGAGGGGAGGGAACGGGACAGGGACAGGGAGAGGGACAGGGAGAGGGACAGGGAAAGGAAGAGGGACATGGATCGAGAGAGGGAGAGGGAGGGAGAGGGAGAGGGGGAGGGAAAGAGATTGGCATTAAGTACCACTACCCCCATCATCCCCATCAAGCTTGAATTTGCTCAGCTTGAGAGAACAAGACTGTTTTAAATTTTGGTTAAAGGAAAGGGAGAAAGACTTGTACTCCTCCTAAGCTTTTAGAAGTTAGGGAAGGATAAGTCCGGGTGCTCCAGAGACCCATGCAAAGGTTTTGCTTGTAAGCAGAGTGGGGTGAAATACAAAGATTTGCTTTAGCTAGGATAAGGAAACACTGGATACCTGACTCGATCTCTGAAGTTAAAAAATGACCTTTCATTGCATAATTTTAGAGGTAATCTAGCTGCATAATTATATTTGCATTTACAGAAGACAGCATTAGAGTTCCCTTATTGGTTTGAAATTCCATTAAATATATTGCAAGAGCTCCTAGGTTAAACTTGATTTAAATTTGCATACATTTTCATATATTTAGCAGAAATAAAAGAAGGCTTGCAGCTACCGGAAAGTCATTAAGGCATTAGTTTCCCTAAGAAGACAGATCTGAAGAAAATGCAAGAAAATGAGAAAAATAAAAACAAGGTGAGCTTATTCTGTCATTCCTTTATATAGCTAAAGAGCATCTATTTCCTGTGAAATAAGTAATTACTTATGAGAGCACAGAGCAATAGGAGTTTGTGTTGTTAAATGTAAATTGTGTCTATTAGGCAGGAAAACCTGGCATCTGGTTGAGATGTATTTGTTTCTTTTACTCTTTCTTTTAAAAAGGATAAACACAATAATTATTGGCAGATAGGATTAATCATTTGCCATCTTCCCCCCTCCTCATCCCTCACTAAAATTGTGCTTTCATTTTCTGGTGTCCTATTGTAAAGGTTTATCTGCTTTTAACCTAGAATTAAATTCTCATTCTCTCTCTCTCTCTCTCTCTCTCTCTCTCTCTCTCTCTCTCTCTCTCTCTCTCTCTCTCTCTCTCCTTTTTTTTCTGCCGAGGAAGGTCGTTTCATTACTGCCAACTGTGTGTATCTTCCTTTGCAAAAACGCAGCCTCATTTGTGCTTGAACTCTTGCTTCCTGAAGAAAAAAAAAAAGAACTTGTTAAAAATCAAACATAATACAAGTTTTCAGGTGCTCTGTTAGGCTGTCTGTTCAAGGATCCATTTGCCAGTCTGTGTCAGGTCACTTTAGAGGTCAGAAGGAAGCACAGTGAAGAAACCATACTAGGAAAAGATCATGATCATTGCCACGTTGTTGTTGGCTGCTGCGGTGGGTTCCCCACCCCCACCTTGCAGCTGCGTTTGGGTGAAAGAGTTGCTAATCTTAGTCTGACCATTCAGGGCGTTAAGGCAATTATCAATTGATAAGGCTTTTGCATGAAAAAGAAGGGGGTCATTTTCCCAGTCTGATTTGCCAGAGTTCTTACAATCAACCTTCCTCTTGCCCTTGGCCTCTGCTCTGGGCAACTGGTTTGGCCAGACACACAAAAAAGGTTCAGACAATTTGTTCCCAGGCTTGTGTGGGGCAGGCGGGGGATTATAGAGTAGGAGGCATCTGTGCCCAGGGACAAGTTTTTTAAACCCTTGTTTTGCAGTCTTTTAATGTAAGACTACCTTCTGTCAGGAGCAAAACCCAACCGCAGTCTTTCCTTTCCTTTCCTTTCCTTTCCTTTCCTTTCCTTTCCTTTCCTTTCCTTTCCTTTCCTTTCCTTTCCTTTCCTTTCCTTTCCTTTCCTTTCCATCCCTCCTTCCCTCTTCCCTCCCTCTCATTCTTATCTCTCTCGCCTCTTTCTATTTGTTTTAAAAATTACTTCCCATGAATATAGAGTCCACCTATTAAATTCAGGTGCAAGCACATCCTGGAGCAACTGTGATAAGAATCTTCTCTTGCAAGTAAAGTGCTTTGTTTTTGAGTAAATTATCTGAATATAGTCAAATCTTCTTGCTGTTCTAACTGATCTACTGGAGAGGTTTCCTTGGCCCTCTCCTGTCAGTCTAACTTCCCAAGTGTAACAGATGCCGCTCTCAAGCGCTCCTTTCTGCGGCTTCTCTTTATTCAGCTTCGCATATTTCTCCCCATGATCTGGGTTTCCATAGAGAGAGGAATAAAAGGGGGGACCATGGTCACAAATCCCCTGCCCCATACAAAATAAAAGAGCCTCATTCAATAGCCGACCCCATCTGGACATGGGAGAAAATTAAGTCCATGTGAAGCTACTGTTGCAAATAGTTGGTAACTTATTTTTTCATGGACTGAATTTTGCCTTAAACTCAACATTAGCACTGATAAACTGATCTCTTGCATAGCTGGACTATATACACAGCTGGTGTTCTCCTCACCTTGATCTTGAAGTCCACTGCTGGGTCCTCAGATCTGATTTACCCCACCCCCTCTAGAGCTATGGTTTTAATATAATAATAGCTACCCCAGCCCTACCAGGTTGGGGCAGCTAAATGGTCCCCTGGAGAGGAGCCTGATTTACAAGTGGAGGAAATGTAATTTTAGCAAATCCACATACCCATCCCCAGCAAGGCAACACAGGTTTCCATTCCCTTGTCAGGCTAGTACCAGACACCAACTCCATTCCTCCTTGGGTTGCCTTCATACCCCAATTTGCCACCTCACACCACCCATCACATTGCTTGGTTTCTAAGAGGGTGATTCAATTAATTTCAAAAAACAAGTCAGATTGGCTTGATTTACTTGTATGTTTATTAAATTATTTGCAACCTAGGGGTTCATAGTGGCTCTCCTGCCTCATAAGTTTTAAGGATATATAACAACTCCTGAGAGTCTTCCCAGGACACTCCTCCCTGTCCAAGCAAGAAAAGGACTCACAAAAGAAATTAGGTATATTAGTGTGATTCAGGTTGCACGCCTGTAGAAAAGAGAGAGCTTGATTGCAGCTGAGCAGCTTGTTCCAGGCTCTTTCTGAAAGTGCCCCAGCCACAGGGATTATACCGCTTGTGTATTTTTTATATGAGTATAGGTTAGAAAGAATTCTCATTTTTCCTACAAATTGGAGGAACGGGAGGCAGTCTGGAGCTGGGGCTGGTGAAGGTTGGAGAGCAGGGTCCGGAAAGAAGTCTAAAAGGCCAGATTTGAATGTGTATAATACAGCACGAAGCTCCAGATCATAGGATGTGGCACATAGGCGTGACCTCGAGATAGAAAACTTCATCTTCAACATAAGTTCACTTTGGAAACAGAACAAGTTAGATTGGGCTTAGTAGCGACAAGTACACATTTTCTTTTTATAACCAGGTGCTCATAAGGGAAGGGAAACAATTGAACAGCTTCTGAAAGCAGCAGAGAAAAAAGCGCCTTTTTCTTAGTGTTTGTACATTTAGCTCATGAGACTTTCTTGGTGTGAGACTTAGCTGCCCTTCAGAGCATCAGCCACTCTTATAGTTGCCATTGTTATCATTTGTTATTCTTTTTCTTTTAATTCTTGGAAAACTGTGTGGGGGAAGGGGTTCATAATATTCTGGGGGAATGTTTTTTTATTAGCTAACATTAGCAGATATTAGTCGATACGGATTTAAGCTCAATTAGCTTCTTTTTAGATCTCTGTTGGATTTCCTGTAATGTGAAGAAAAGATTCTTTAGAGGAAAGAGGAGAGGGAGGGAAAGTAGTGGTAGCATACAGTGAATGCCACATAAAATGCAGGGTAATTTAAAAAACAAAATATTCATCATAAAAATGTCCAGATCTTCAAGAACACTAATCATTTGCTAGCAAAATTGAATGT